GACTGTTCTGTCATTACTTTATTGAAAGGCTGTCCCTTTCTTGACAATATCAGGTTCTAGTAATTTTCTACATCAAAGGATTGGCTCGTGGCACCGCTAAAATGTTAACTACAGTCAAGTGCTACCTGTCCTTCTTCATTTCATACAGAAAATTAGTCTATCTACAGGCACCATACTCAAAAAACAATTGAACATTCTCCAAAAACCACCCTGCTAACTGGCAAACAGGGACCCCACGACTCTTCTGGATGAACTCGATAATCTGGCATACATTTAAACAATTACGGACGTTCAGCAGTGACTAACACATATTCCACATTAACATTTGAAAAATGGTTGTGTCGATGGTGCCAAGTGTTGGGCCGTAACTCACGGTTAAGGACGAGAGGTGAATTTTTTTAGTTTCATTTAAATGTATAATGATGATGTGGAGGGAGAATTTGTCTCCTCAGCTATGGAATGATCCCTCCACCAGGCCAGGTGATCCTCTCTACATAATCATTGATAAATGCAGCCAGAAGTAGCAGTGCAAGTGGAGGCAGTTTTACATCAGGAAGCAAAAAAACTTGCCAAAGTTTATAATGCGAACAGAGAATGCGTCATACTTGTGTACCCCAAGCAGGTGGAAATTGGATTTGAGGCTAGGCAGGATTTAAGCATCAACTTTGTTGGTCTTTAATTAAATCTCTAGGTTTTCATCAAAGTTCAGGAAGAATAACTGATCGCTAGAAACTTGTGCTGAAAACGTCATAACTGCAACTGATACCAAAACATAATCTGGATTAGCATCTGATGTGAGTGTAAAAGTCGTTAACTTTCTCCACCAAGATGGGTTCTAGGTTAGTGTTCAAATACTTATTTTATTGGAATGGTATGTCCTGAGTTACCTTCCTCCCCGATAAAGATCAAAAGTCGAGGATTATTTTATCTGGACACGGATAAGGTCGGCCACATTCCAATCTGTCTGAATGAAATCAGATTGATATAAATTACTTAAATATAGAACGCGCCTGCTTTACATCCCCCTCATCATCATTCTCTCATCCTCAGTGACACCAGTACATCCCAACATCCAAATAAAGTCACGGTCAAAGTCAGGCCACCTTAACCTCTCTCCATGGGGGAAATACCTGGGACTCTATAGTGAAGTAGGGAGTCAATATCTAAATAAAGACACCAGTCCACCCCAGCGTTTTTAAATAGTTCTGATAGGTTTGGAATAAGATTAGTGACCATACTGTGGTATAGGAGGCACATATCAGAAACGATAACCTTCATTTCTAGTGCAGGTCGATGGGAGGGGGCAGAGATTATTTCACTGAAATCCCTCACTGACAATTTACACTAAAAAAGTGTTGATTCAAGTCATGTTCTCTGTCAACTAAGTAGAGAAATTTGGATGTAAGCTGCCAAGCAGTCAGGTTAGCCACATCTCCTGTCCACTGTTGGCACTCTGTACACTCACGTTAATATATGCTCCTCCAAGGCAGTCCTGCCTGATGCAGATTACCTGGTGTCAATCGCAGGTAAAAAAAAGACATCATATGTCATGCAATTCTAATAACAGCCTCAAAAAGGTGCAATGTTTATTGAGCGGAGGTAAATGGGGGGCCCATACATGGCCGACTTCCTGTGAAGACTTTGAACCTGTCAGGATGTAATCATTATGAATGTAATCCATTGACAGTTCTAGGACACCTGATACATGACACACCTTCCCAGTCCTCAGTACAGCACTCACTTCCAACATTTTGAATGAAGTGATAGAGGATGTAAATATATATTATCTTGTTTATACTGAAGTTATTATTAAACACTTATAAACCAGTCACATCAATAAAACCTCTACACAGGCTGTAATGGTCAGGCAACTGTAATGGTCAGGCACCTGTAATAGTCAGGCCTCTGTAATGGTCAGGCATCTGTAATGGTCGGGCATCTGTAATAGTCAGGCCTCTGTAATAGTCAGGCCCCTGTAATGGTCAGGCATCTGTAATGGTCAGGCACCTGTAATAGTCAGGCCTCTGTAATGGTCAGGCATCTGTAAAGGTCGGGCGCCTGTAATAGTCAGGCCTCTGTAATGGTCAGGCATCTTTAATGGTCAGGCATCTGTAATGGTCGGGCCTCTGTAATGGTCGGGCCTCTCTAATGGTCGGGCATTTGTAAAAGTCAGGCCTCTGTAATGACCGGGCGCCTGTCTGTAATGTTTGGGCCTTTGTAATGGTCGGGCCTCTGTAATGGTCAGGCCTATGTAATGGTTGGGCCTCTGTAATCGTTAGGCATATTTAATTGTCGGGTGCCTGTAATGGTCAGGCGTATGTAACGGTCGGGTGTCTGTAATGGTCAGCGTATGTAATAGTTTGGGGCATATGTAATGGTCGAACGTCCAGTCACATCTATAAAACCTCTACACAAGCTGTAATGGTTGGGCGTCAACCAGATAGAGCATGACAACTTTCAAATTAATTTTCAACCCCAAGCTTTGTACTAATTAACACAGTCAGAAGTGCATGGCCCTATACATTACATATCTTTAACACAAAAGCTCCTACCTGACAGGTGGTATGTTAGGAAGGGAGGAAAGGGGAGGGGGAAACAGGTGAGAGGACAAAATCAGTCAACCAACACTGGGGATACAGATGAGCGAAGAGTAGTGATTAATGGCCAGTGAGACAGACATTAGATCAGAATCCAGGGATACAGAGTTATGTTTAAGCACATTCATCAGGTGACCGAAGCCTTTGGTACAGAGTACATCCTGGATGTCCACACCTATGCTGCTGGGAGGGTCACTTCCCCGGGACAGAGGGGTCAACATTTACAGCTCCGTAGGAATATAAATGTAGTAGAACTCATTGTGAACACCTTACCTGTACATATCATCTTAAACATGTAGCTCAAATACAGGTTTACATTGTACATCATTCACTGTAGACGCAAATGTAAAGCCATAAATGTCCCTTTCTCATCTAAAACCCCTCCAATATACTGCCCTTTCTCTCTCATAAAAACCCTCCAATATACTGCCCTTTCTCTCTCATAAAACCTCTCCAATATGCTGCCCTTTCTCTCTCATAAAACCTCTCCAATATGCTGCCCTTTCTCTCTCATAAAACCTCTCCAATATGCTGCCCTTTCTCTCTCATAAAACCTCTCCAATATGCTGCCCTTTCTCTCTCATAAAACCTCTCCAATATGCTGCCCTTTCTCTCTCATAAAACCTCTCCAATATGCTGCCCTTTCTCTCTCATAAAACCTCTCCAATATGCTGCCCTTTCTCTCTCATAAAACCTCTCCAATATACTGCCCTTTCTCTCTCATAAAACCCCTCCAATATGCTGCCCTTTCTCTCTCATAAAACCTCTCCAATATACTGTCCTTTATCTCTCATAAAACCCCTCCAATATACTGCCCTTCTCTCTCATAAAACCCTTCCAATATACTGCCCTTTCTCTCTCATAAAACCCCTCCAATATGCTGCCCTTTCTCTCTCATAAAACCTCTCCAATATACTGCCCTTTCTCTCTCATAAAACCACTCCAATATGCTGCCCTTTCTCTCTCATAAAACCTCTCCAATATACTGCCCTTTATCTCTCATAAAACCCCTCTAATATACTGCCCTTCTCTCTCATAAAACCCTTCCAATATACTGCCCTTTCTCTCTTATAAAACCCCTCCAATGTACTGCCCTTTCTCATGTAAAACCCCTCCAATGTACTGCCCTTTCTCTCTCATAAAACCCCTCCAATATGCTGCCCTTTCTCATGTAAAACCCCTCCAATGTACTGCCCTTTCTCTCTCATAAAACCCCTCCAATGTACTGCCCTTTCTCTCTCATAAAACCCCTCCAATGTACTGCCCTTTCTCATGTAAAACCCCTCCAATGTACTGCCCTTTCTCTCTCATAAAACCCCTCCAATATGCTGCCCTTTCTCTCTCATAAAACCTCTCCAATATACTGCCCTTTATCTCTCATAAAACCCCTCCAATATACTGCCCTTCTCTCTCATAAACCCCTCCAATATGCTGCCCTTTCTCTCTCATAAAACCCCTCCAATATACTGCCCTTTCTCATGTAAAACCCCTCCAATGTACTGCCCTTTCTCATATAAAACCCCTCCAATATACTGCCCTTCTCTCTCATAAACCCCTCCAATATACTGCCCTTTCTCTCTCATAAAACCCCTCCAATGTACTGCCCTTTCTCATGTAAAACCCCTCTAATGTACTGCCCTTTCTCATGTAAAACCCCTCCAATGTACTGCCGACATACAACTCCTAACCTGTTGTTTATAAATGTTGTTGTATTTACTTCTGTGGCCTCAGAAGGTCATTAAGTATGTCCTTACATTCCTTGAGATTAATGGTATTTTGTGGTAAGTGTTAAAACGCTAATACGTGTACCAATAATCTCTTAAGTCCATTCCTAAGGCAAAGAAATCTCAATAGTATTTAGTGTCACACACTCCTAGAAAGGAAATTAAAAATAAACTTGACCGAAATTCAAAGGGAAAAACTATATGAGAGAATATAATGCATTTGTATCTTGAATCATCATTATGGAACTTTCGTGTTATATAAACATAATCTAAAATGTAATGATGTATTGAGTTCAACAATGTGATCTATATCATCCGAATATTTAATGAAGCAGCACAGAAGTGTGGTAATATGGCAAGTAATAGGGAGTGTTATGGTAATTAATGGGGAGTGATATGGTAATTAATGGGGAGTGGTATGGTAAATAACGGGGAGTGATATGGTAAATAACGGGGAGTGGTATGGTAAATAACGGGGAGTGATATGTGCTGTTTGTAAGTTGTAATGTTTGTAAGTTGTGCTGTGTGTAAGTTGTGCTGTGTGTAAGTTGTACTGTGTGTAAGTTGTGCTGTGTGTAAGTTGTGCTGTGTGTATGTTGTGTTGTGTGTAAGTTGTGCTGTGTGTATGTTGTGCTGCGTGTATGTTGTGCTATGTGTACAATTGAGGGAGAAGACTTACCTGGTCATCAATACTGCAGTATCATAATGCTGTGGATGGTTGTCATCATGATTATTATGAGAATATTGCCACTTACAAAACTCTTGTAATGATAGAGCTGCATTTTGATTTATTCTTGGTCCATCCTGTAAATATACAACAATGATAACCTTAACATTGATTTCATTAAATATATCAACCCTTAAAGAAATATCAATAAATCTCATACATACACATGTACAACGCCCTTCACAGATATAACAATGCCCTTCACAGATATAACAATGCCCTTCACAGATATAACAATGCCCTTCACAAATATTTCAATGACCTTAACAAATATAACAATGACCTTTAACAGATATGACAATGACCCTCACAAATATAACAATGAACTTCACAAATATTTCAATGACCTTTACAAATATAACAATGACCTTTCACAGATATGACAATGACCCTCACAAATATAACAATGACCTTCACAAATATTTCAATGACCTTTACAAATATAGCAATGACCTTTACAAATATAGCAATGACCTTTACAAATATAACAATGACCTTTACAAATATAACAATGACCTTCACAGATATATCAGTGATCTATGTAGGTATCACAATGACCTTCACATATATACCAACGACCTTTAAAGATATACAATTAACTTTACAAATATGGACTTGCATGGACATCATTTATCACAGACAAACAGGATTATATCATTAAATACACAAAATACATGATGAGTCTAAATTCATTGTTTGTATGTTTGTGAAGCTGCTGTAACAGGAAACCCCTGAATGTCCTAGATTTAGCTGCCTTAGTCCCACCACCCAGTCAGATAATGTTCCTCTTCTCACTGTGTTTCATCTACTGAAGCTAATTATATGTATATGGGATCGTTGTAACCATGTTAATTTGACATCAGCAGACAAGATCAGAGATATTTCTTCCTAAATCCATGCCACCTCTGAGATATTGTCTGTGTTTTCTCTTGTCTTACTTTGTAAATAATAGCCAATAACAAAATAAACACACCAATGATGACTCTGGATTATTGTTAAGTGTTGATAAAAATCTGATAAATTTGTAGGATGAAAACTCACTATCAACCACAGTGAGAAGTAAGATAATGTGAGGGGTTAGATCATGTGAGGAGTTGGATCATGTGAGGAGTTGGATCATGTGAGGAGTTAGATCATGTGAGGTGTTAGATCATGTGAGTAGTTAGATCATGTGAGGGGTTAGATCATGTGAGGAGTTAGATCATGTGAGGGGTTAGATCATGTGAGGGGTTGGATCATGTGAGGAGTTGGATCATGTGAGGAGTTGGATCATGTGAGGAGTTAGATCATGTGAGGAGTTGGATCATGTGAGTAGTTAGATCATGTGAGGAGTTAGATCATGTGAGTAGTTAGATCATGTGAGAAGTAAGATAATGTGAGGAGTTAGATCATGTGGATCATGTGAGGAGTTGGATCATGTGAGGAGTTGGATCATGTGAGTAGTTAGATCATGTGAGGAGTTGGATCATGTGAGGAGTTGGATAATGTGAGGAGTTAGATCATGTGAGGAGTTAGATCATGTGAGGAGTTAGATCATGTGAGGGGTTAGATCATGTGAGTAGTTAGATCATGTGAGGAGTTAGATCATGTGAGGGGTTAGATCATGTGAGTAGTTAGATCATGTGAGGGGTTAGATCATGTGAGGGGTTAGATCATGTGAGGAGTTAGATCATGTGAGGGGTTTGATCATGTGAGGAGTTAGATCATGTGAGGAGTTAGATCATGTGAGGAGTTAGATCATGTGAGGTGTTAGATCATGTGAGGGGTTAGATCATGTGAGGAGTTAGATCATGTGAGGAGTTAGATCATGTGAGGAGTTAGATCATGTGAGGAGTTAGATCATGTGAGGAGTTAGATCATGTGAGGTGTTAGATCATGTGAGGGGTTAGATCATTTGAGGAGTTGGATCCTGTGAGGAGTTGAATCACGTTAGGAATTAGATCATGTGAGTTGGACCAGAGCACCTGTTCAACACAGATCAGAAGAAATAAGCCATAGAAATATTAATGGTGAATCAAACTCAATGAAACATAAACTGGATGCCAAACTAAAGATAGATGTCAAACTCAAAACTAGCATATAAATCCTATACAAAATTTCCACTGTAGTTTTGGAGCCTGCCTTTTGTGACAGCTCTCGGGCAGTTTGTATCTCGTCATGCCACTATTTATAAATGTTTTTGTGAACTGGTATGTCTACACCAGAGAATCCACCTGTTGGCCTACAAATCTATCACAAAAACTCTGACAAACAAGGATACCTGACTCTAATTTATTTCCAATAATAACTCTACTTTATACCATGTTTTATAGAGTTCTTTCATCATTAACCAAAGTTTTTAGGCTTTCAATATGGACATGAAATACTCCTAGAATGCATTCCTGTCTAGTCATATATCAACCTTGTTTACAATGTTTCTCAAAATAAAAACATGTCACTGGTACTAAATATAGCATGTCACAGTTCCCTGTCACATCACACACCATAATTCTTTCTAGTCACAGTTCCCTGTCACATCACACACCATAATTCTTTCTAGTCACAGTTCCCTGTCACATCACACACCATAATTCTTTCTAGTCACAGTTCCCTGTCACATCACACACCATAATTCTTTCTAGTCACAGTTCCCTGTCACATCACACACCATAATTCTTTCTAGTTTCCCTGTCACATCACACACCATAATTCTTTCTAGTCACAGTTCCCTGTCACATCACACACCATAATTCTTTCTAGTCACAGTTCCCTGTCACATCACACACCATAATTCTTTCTAGTCACAGTTCCCTGTCACATCACACACCATAATTCTTTCTAGTCACAGTTCCCTGTCACATCACACACCATAATTCTTTCTAGTCACAGTTCCCTGTGATTTCCTGTCTTGTTTTTTTATTCAAGCTGCACTAGTCCCTTTTTACACCTACTCATTTTTTTAAAACTTCTGAAATTGTTGTAGTTTAAAAATGATATCAAACAGATCTCCTTCATGAATGGCCTGGGGAAGATGAATGGATGAGAAAGTTGTAACTTTTTTAAACAAAAAACAAACAAAAAAGAATCTATATTTACTTCCTTCCTCTCACCAAAATAAAAGAAATGGGTTCACAGAGAACAGACACAAGTTTTTGACTGAATTCTGTGGTAAAATTTGTTCTTATATTTAAATAGAAGATAGCCTCTTTGGTGCCATAAAGAAAGGCCTTGTTTTAACCTATCTCTGCTCGATTGGGGCATTGTAGTTTTAGGTGCAACAACTGCTGGTGAAAATAAAGATAATTTCCCTTAGATTGGTGAATCCCTGAAGTACATCCTTTGTTAAACACTAAGAACAATGTACATATCTACATGAGTGATCAATATGTTTTATACCTTGTAGTAGCTTACAAACATTAACATCAAAGTGTGGAAACTATTCCACCTATGTGTTATGAGAAGCACATGATACTGCTCGCTTTGTGTACTAAGGGTATTGGTGATGTATTTGAACCTGACTTTGTGTTTTCAACTTCTTTCCTACAGAGAGGTAGTAGTTAAACTGATGAATGGGTATGCCCTGAAGGCCCTTGTCAACACTCTCTCAATGAACAGGTTGAAAACCCATTTCTGTCTCTCTTCCATCTGGAGCCATCTGACCCTTGTTTTTGTCAAAGTGGCCTGAAATGGAGTTGATGACTTAAACAGTACTGATTGGTTGATATATGTTCATTTTTTGTCCAATCACCAATTTGCCCATGACTGATCTGCGTAGAGAGGATGCTAGTTATGCTGGTAAGGAAATGTTCTGTACTTTAGCTAGGGTATTTGGGTGCTGTAGCCCTAAACAGTCCCACAAACCATTGCAACCCCCATTTACAGAAAGAAAAAAAAATCTCTTTCAAAATATTTGCTGTATCTTCACATCACAACAAATTTTATCCAAGAAACCTGCTTGCTTTTCCACAAGATGAGCTTGAATATGTAGTGGAAATGACCAATTTACTTTGAATTATTACCTATCTTAGCTGATTCCCCCCACTTCTATAGTTACACCCACCACTGAGTACTCAGTTTGTAGGATCTCAATAAATGTAAAGTGCAAAAGGAGATGGACCATTACTCAAAAAGCCATTCACATTTTTATGGGAATTATTTACTAATGACAAACAAGTTACATCTGTTTCCTGTGTTCCATCCCCCCATCATTAGGTATTAAGTACTTAAAACAGCTACAGGTGTGAAATCCTTCTGTATTAGACCTTCAGTCCACTATTCACACAATCTATCGGCATTAAAGTTTAGGACTCCCAAAATACCTGACCTGCTGGCCACCTGCCTAATACCATACATACATAGACACTGAGGTTTCTTGTCCACAAATATAGCTTTCCTATCCCTCCCTCATGACTCTGGTAAATACCTCTCTCACAACTTTGCCTCAGTAAACACCGTCCCCTTCTCTTCCACTTCGTCCTATCCCTTCCTCCATTTCCAATACCCCTCATCCTCATCATATCCCTGCAAATACCTAAGGTTTCCACTACCCTTGTCCTACCCAAGATTCCACGCCCCCTGTCCTACCCAAGATTCCACGCCCCCTGTCCTACCTAAGGTTCCACGCCCCCTGTCCTACCTAAGGTTCCACGCCCCCTGTCCTACCTAAGGTTCCACGCCCCCTGTCCTACCCAAGATTCCACGCCTCCTGTCCTACCTAAGGTTCCACGCCCCCTGTCCTACCTAAGATTCCACGCCCCTCCCCTATCATCACACCATACTGCCATATTAAATCAACATTAATGGAGTCAGTCATGTTTCACCATCCTTTATTGAGCTTTTATAGTATCTGTAGGTTTTCATACAAAAGTACAATTGTACCAAGACTTAAAAAAAATCTTACATCCCTGACCTACAAACAATTAAAAACCTGTTCAAAAGACATTAAAGAATATTCTGGTGTGTCTAGTATCACTCGTGCCTGTACAAAACGGAATCTGAACATCTATACAAAAGTACTATGTGAACCACACACTTCTCAGTAATTCGTCTTCAACTAAACAAATAAATTAAACGAATTGATGAACAGTTTCAAAACACG